TTGTATTCCAGGAATAAATCCCACTTGGTCATGCTGTATAATTCTTCTAATGTGCTATTGAAATCGATTTGCTAGCATTTTGTTGAGGATTTTACATTGCTTTTCACTTGCTGCTTTCAAGATTTCTTCTTTGTCTTTGCTTTTTGATTATAATGTTTCTCAGTGTAGGTCTCCTACTTGTTAATTGAGCCTCTCATATTTATATTTCAATTTCATTCCTCAAAGCTGGGAAATTTGCAGACATTATATTTTTCACATAAGCTCTTTGCCACTTTCTGTCTTTTGTTTGAGAACCTCATAATGTATATATTGGTTGGCTTGATAGTGTCCATTAAGTCCCTTAGGAACTTCACTTTTCTTCATTCTTTTTGTTCCTGACTCAGTACCTTCAAATGTCATGTCTTCAAGTTTGCTGATTCCTTCTGCTTCATCAAGTCTGTTGTTTCATCCTTCTAGAGAATTTTTCAATTCAACAATTACATTTTTCAGCTCCAGAATCTGGCTTTTAAAAAAATTTCTCAGCCGGGCATGGTGGCTTATGCCAATAATCCCAGCACTTTGGGAGGCCAAGGTAGGGATCACGAGGTCAAGAGATCGAGACCATATTAGGCAACATGGTGAAACCCCATCTTTACTAAAAATACAAAACAAAAAATTAGCTGGGCATGGTGGCACGTACCTGTAGTCCCAGCTACTCGGGAGGCTGAGGCAGAAGAAGTGCTTGAACCTGGGAGGCGGAGGCCGTAGTAAACAGATCACACCACTGCACTCTAGCCTGGGCAACAGAGTGAGACTCCATCTCGGAAAAAAAAAAAAGTATCTGTTGATAGTTTCATTTTGTTCATACATTGTTTTCCTAATTTTATTTAGTTGTTTGGCATATTTAAGATACTTGTGGTGTTTTTGTTTTGTTTTGGGACAGAGTCTCATTCTGTCACCCAGGCCAGAGTGCAGTGGTGCAATCTTGGCTTACTGCAACCACTGCCTCCCAGGTTCTCAGTCTCCTGAGTAGCTGGGACTACAGGCACGTGCCACCATGTCCAATTAATTTTTGTGTTTTTAGCAGAGACAGGGTTTCACCACGTTGGCCAGGCTGGCCTTGAACTCCTGGCCTCAAGTGATACACCAGCCTCGGCCTCCCAAAGTGCTGGGTTCACAGGCATGAACCGCCACACCCAGCCTGACAGTTGTTTACATACTTTGTCAAGTAAGTCAGAGGTCTGTATTCTAATTAGGATTGATTTCTGGAGATTTATTTTATACGTTTGAATAGACTATGTTTCATTGTTTCTGTGTACACTTTGTGATCTCTTTTTGAGGTGTGGTTATTTGAAGAAACATCCAGCTCTCCCAGTCTTTACCAGCTGGCTTTGTGCAGGAGAATACCTTCACTAATCAGTCTAGCTTAAAGGCTCAGCGTCTTCTCAAACCGTTTCTGGGGCTGTGTCTTCCCTGGGACCTTGTGTGTGTTATTTTTGTATTACTTATGTTTACTTGTATTGTACTTAGGTGTCATGTGCATTCCTCTTCCTGTTATCTATTGCCCCAAAGCACCGTGGATCTGAGAGCTGCCTGCTATTCTAGTGCACCAGAGCACTCCCCCTCTGCTTTACAGCCTCTAACCATGTGTCTAAAGTGTGTCACTGTTCCTCAGTGCTCTGAGTCAGGAACAACAGAAACTAGTCCCTTAAGCAGCCCTCAGACATCTAACTAGTAAGTTACAAGGCAAGTTCCGCCTTTTTCCTTTAGTCCCAAGGGATAAACTGGGATTGAGGCAGTTTCCTTTGATAATGCCATGCTGCACCAGGGAAGAGGTGGAACAAAGGTGACCAAAATTTCATGAAATTTCCTATAACTTTGAGTGTGACTTGTTCTTGTTTAAACATTCACTAGGTTGCCGTAGCTTCTTAGCTGATTTCTAGAGTTTTTATAAGATATTTTGGTCTGAATATTGTCTATATGGTGTTTCCCTGGGGAAATGAGCCTGGAGCTTCCTAATCTGCCATCTTGCTGAATGTCATCCCTCTCATCTCTCTAGTTTAAAACATCATGTTATTTTGTCTTATATTACTGAATAAAATTAGTAGGATAAACAGAATGAAATCCAAATAGTATAGTATGGCATGAAATTAAAAATAAGTCTCCTTATCCAGTTCCCAAACCCCATTCCCACTTCCTAAGGATAACCACTTGTAGCCATTTGTCTTTTGAAGTCTTCTGAGGGTTACTTCCTTTATTTTAAATAACGTAAGCATACCTTCATTTCTTGATTCATCAACTTTGAATTGTGCAAATGATTTTATGCACCAAAAGATGAGGCTTGTAACAGAATCCTTGTCCTCCTTCTTCCAGTTTTTGTTATATTTTTATATCTAAATATCTCATCTGTTAGAACTTCAAATGGTAATTTTAAACATACATGTATAGAGTTCATGAGTTCTGAATATGTAAAGGAGATTGACACTTATTCCCCTCCATTTCTTTAACCCCACACCATCTTCTGAATTTTGTTTTCTAAAACTTACGTTTTGTTCTGTGACTATAGTATTTTATGCTTTCACTTAAAAAGGTATTTAAATATATTTATAATTCACTGTACAAACAAGATATGTGATGAGCACTAAATGAAATGCAATATTTGTCTCTAAAGTCATCCCTGTCAGATGACATTTCCTTTCTTAAATTTTACAGAACATATTTACTGAGTGCCTCCTGCATGGCCCATCTGTTCTGGGCACTTAGAGTACGCTCATTAGTTGCTCAAAATCATATTGTATCTTTGGACCTGTTTTTGGTTTAAACAAACATATCTACAATTGCCTTTCCTTTTTGTTTGTTGATGGTAAAATGTGTGACACAGTTTGGATATTTGTCCCTACCCAAATCTCTTGAATTGTAATCCCCAGTGATGAGGTGGGGCTTGGTGGGAGGTGTTTGGGACATAGGGGCAGATCCCTCATGGCTTAGTGCTGTCTTTGCAATAGTGAGTTCTTGTGAAATCTGGTCATTTAAAAGTGTGTGTCCAACCAGGCGCCGTGGCTCTTGCCTGTAATCCCAGCACTTTGGGAGGCCGAGGCAGGTAGATCACCTGAGGTCAGGAGTTGGAGACCAGCCTGGCCAACATGGGGAACCCCGTCTCTACTAAAAATACAAAAGTTAGCCAGTTGTGGTGGCATGTGCCTGTAGTCCCAGCTACTCAGGTGCTGAGGCAGGAGAATCATTTGAACTCGGGAAGCGGAGGTTGCAGTGGGCTGATATCACACCACTGCACTCCAGCCTGGGCAACAGAGCAAGACATCATCTCAAAAAAAAAAAAAGTGTGTGCCCCCTCCCCCACTACTCTCTCTCTTGCTCATGCTCTGGCCATGTGATGCCCCAGAAGCTGAGCAGGTGCTAGCACCATGCTTCCTATAAAGCCTGCAGAATCATGAGGCAATTAAACCTCTTTTCTTTATAAATTACCCAGCCTTGGGTATTTCTTTATAGCAATGCAAGAAGGCCTAATACAGTGTGTTAACTGTATTACTAACATCTCAGCTTTAATGTCGCTGTCTCAGCATGGTGATATCTTAAACTACAGTTCCTCTCCTATGCCCCGAGTTGTTTATCCAGAGCACTTACCATTTTCTAATCTGTTACATAATTCACTTATTTATTTGGCTTAATATCTTTCTGCATACCCCCAAGTAGAACTAAAACTCTTGGAGGCTTAAGAAATTTGTTCACTGCTGTATCCTCAGTGTCTAAACAGTACCTTGGCACATAATGCTCAATAAAAATGTTTTGATTGCATGTTATCTTCCTGCTATTGAATGGTATCCGTTTAATATGCTTCTTGTAAACAGTTGTTCTAAAATCTCTCATTGTTTGTTCTAATTTGGATAGAATGCCTTCTAGGTTGGCTTCAGACCTAGAAATCCTGAGATTTATTTTATTACTAGATTTGTTCTCTATCTTGCAGTGTTTTCACGATGGGTGTGTGAAAAGTAAAGCCGTTCATTGCTAGTGTAATCATCTTTATTCTGCCATCTTACTTCATTGAGAGTATGGTTGTAGACAGAGTTCATTGAGAGTATGGCTGTAGACAGAATTCTAGTTCAAAATAATGTCTTCTCCAAAGTCGGAGGGGAGTGCCCCATTATATTCCAGACCACAGTATTGCTGTTGAGAAATCGGGTAATCTTCAAAAGTTGAAGGAATAATCAGAGAAATAATATTTCCCATAGCTGAATATATGAGTCTTCAGAACAAAAGGTCCTTGAGGGCTGTGAAGTGAGAAAGTGTAATTGTAAAAACAAATTTTTTTTTAATTTGAAGAGACTTTTTTTAAATCTTTTTCCTCTGAAGAGCGTTTTCCTTGCTTTTTGTAGAACTCCCATTAATCACAGATTGGACTGCCTGACCCTCTACTGTGTCCTTCACAGTAGAACGAGTATTTCCTAGATTCTTTTGTTGTTGTTGTTGAGACGGAGTGTCACTCTGTCGCTCAGATTGGAGTGCAGTAGCGCGATCTCGGCTCACTGCAACCTCCGCCTCCTGGGTTCAATCGATTCTCCTGCCTCAGCCTCCTGAGTACCTGGAATTACGGATGTGTGCCACTATGCCTGGCTAATCTTTGTGTTTTTAGTAGAGATGGGGTGTAGAGATGGGGTTTCACCATGTTGGCCAGGCTGGTCTCGAACTCCTGACCTTGTGATCCGCCCACCATGGCCTCCCAAAGTGCTGGGATGACAGGCTTGAGCCACTGTGTCTGGCCCTTAGACTCTTTTTGTAAAAGGGACAGGGTCTTGCTATGTGGCCCAGGATGAACCCAACTCCTGGGCTCAAGTGATCCCTCTGCCTCACCCTCCAAAGTAGCTGAGGCTACAGACATGCATCACCATGCCCAGCTGGTATTTTTCTAAAATGTCTATTTGATCATACTAGTTTCCTATAGGAATATCAGATTGAAAAGAGGGAAAAAGGGAGAAAGGACTGCTTGTTTCTGTTTCTGGTTTTAGGAGTAGCAGATCTTTTTATGCTATTGGCCTAGATGGTCTGTGGACTTAATTCCATTGTGCACCGATTGGATGTGGCTGTGTTTACAGAGGGACAGTCCAGTCACTTATTAGGTACACTTACGCTGTACCTATCCAAGCAACGAAAATCAGGTGAGCAAAACTTACATACACTTGTGAAAAATTATAATAGGACACAATGGACATTATGGACATTGGAAAGAGATTGAACTTAAACCATTTGGAATCTGGGTGGTTTTGCCAAAAGACAGAAGCAGAGTAGTTTTTACCTCCTTTGCAGTATTTCTGAAAAGTAAAACACTTTTTTGTAGAAACCCGGAAACAGCAGCTGAAATGTTTTCTACACTCCCTGAGGCGGCAGCGCCCAGCAGATGAAGGCCTGCGGGAGAGCACACCAGCAGCGGAGGGTCTGGGGGGAAAGCGTGTTGTCTAAGGCAAAGGACTTCTGCCATCTTACACATTTATTTGAAAGACACAGACATAAAAATGATTAATATGTTTATGTAACTTAAAGCAATGGTAAGAAATAGGTAACTAGGTGAGGCTCGTGAAGATTTTGGAAGAAGTGTGTTACTTGCTTGCTGCTCCTTTAAGGGAGAAAAACAAAACAAAAAAAACATACCCCTAAGCCTAAGAATTCTTTCGGGGCCCCCAAGGCAGGTTCTCAGCTGCGTTTAACTGTCCAAAGCTACTGAACCCATGAGTTCTAGTGAGCAGTAAAAGCTCTAATGCACTCCATAGCTTGGATTTACAAAATATAAAATGTGGAGGTTAGAATGAAGCACCGTCTTCACTTTTCTACTAATAATATTACCTTCTAATGTGATGAAAATCAGTTTTCTTCAAAACCAAGATCACCATTCTTTGAGCATATCCTTGTAAGGTCCCAGATCAAACACTTGATCTTATTCAGGGAGTAACTTATCTTTAGTAAAGACGAAGTTTTTTTTTTTCTTCTAGGCATCAAAGGCAAACCAGATAGAACATTATTAAGATGATGGGCATTAAAAAGATGAGGTAGGGGTCAAAATGAGCCTAGAGATTGCATATATCTACAAGAAAGTTTTTTTTTTTTTTTTCCTTCCTGCATAGATGGAGCAGCTCATTGAAAAACACTTTTATTTTTTCAAAGATTCAGGGTCTTGCTCTGTCACCCAGGCTGAAGTGCAGAGGCACCATCATAGCTCAAGCTCTCTGTAACCTTGAACTCCTCGGCTCAAGGGATCCTGGGACAAAGTATCAAAGGCAAACCCTCATAGGCTGAGAAACATCATAAAAACCAAAAGTTAAAGGTGCCAAAACATAAAAAGTCAGATGAAGATGAGTCATTTAATGGTTTCATTCTTACTGGACCATTCTGGATGGAGACAATAAATAGAAGGTAAAATTTCTATGACTTCTTTTACGTTTGCGAATAGTGTACTTTAAGCAGAGGTCACAGAATTTCCTTCGTCTTTATCAATTTTGTAGATTTTTGCATCTTCATAAATATTAGCAATTTCCAGACTCTGGCGCTGTATTTTATAGATTTGTCTTTTTGTGGTTATGTGCCCCTCCTTTAATGTTTTATGCATATCCTTTGAAAACATAAGCTCACAATGTAATTGCTCTTGGTCTACCAACATCAGTTTCTTCAGATACTTTTTCATAGTTGGGATATCACTGGATTGTCAGAATTTTATTTTGCAAAGCACTTCATTTTAAGCCAATTTCTTTTTAGGATCTTTGGATATGGGATGGGGACAAAAGTTACCCTAAGTTTTGAAATACTCTTTTCTGATATTTGTCTTGACTTTTCTGTTTTTAGAATGTTTTGTGGCAATTCTCATAAAACGAAACCTAACACCTATTCTCAGTATTCAACCAGCAAAACACCTCACTTACCTGGTGCACGTGATCTGATGCAACAAAGCGTCCCTAACAGGTTCTATCTGGTGAGTATGCAGACATACAGATCTTCGTCTTAAAACAGGTTTTAGCTGTGGCACCAGGACATTTTGGATCAAATCTTTTTTGTGGGGGCTGTCCTGTACATCACAGGATATTTAGCAGCCTCCCTACTTTCCACTCCCCAGGATCCTGTGCCACCCCTTCCTCAAGCTGTGATAACCAAAACTGCCTCCTGACATTGCTCTAATGTCTCCACGGAGAGCAAAATCACTCCCTGTGGGAACCAGTGTTGTAAACCATTTTAGAGGCAAACCATAAACTAACTCCCCAAACTGTGATGGGGGACATAGTCTATAACTTCCTAATATAGTAGCTGATCACTACATGATGCTACTAAGCACTTCAAATGTGGCTAAGTATGAGGAGAATTCTTAATTCCATTTCATTTTAATTAAGTCCTACATGTACTATAAGGACAAGATACTTCATGGAAAACTGTGTAGATATCTTGATACCTTTGTTAAAAATCATGTGGTTGATAGGCAATAAAAACGTACAGAAAGGGTTTCACCATGTTGTCCTGACTGTTCTCAAACTATCCACTCACCTCCACCTCCAGAAGAGCTGGGATTACAGGTGTGAGTCACTGCACCAGGCATAAAAGTTTTATTAGTCCTATTTCTATCCATTTAATTTTCATTCTAAGTATTTGTTAAATTAAAAAGTGAACTGTGAAGTTAAAGACTACAATGATAGAAATTTAAATTCTCTTTTAAATCAAAGTTTTAAGTTGTTTTTTGCATGACAGGAGTCATGACTGAAAATATTGCATTCTGGTAAATAATTTCCTCCTTGAAAGAAAACAAAAATGAAACAAATTTAAAGGAAAGGCCAACCAGGATTGAAAGAAAACATTTATTGAATCAAAATCAATACTTTCTTTTTAATATCTACAAGCCAACACAGAACTCATTTTATTCAAGAATGAACACAATGTACAAAAAAAGTATGCTTATATTATAAAAATATGTCAATTTTATCTTCTGGGTGCTTAGCAGAAGTCATTTTAAACAAAATCAAGGCATACTTGTTCTCTATAATGAGTCTGCTATAACTTAACAACAAAGTGAAAGCTAATGTACTCCAAAGTATTTGTAAAGGCCCACTGATAATGCTGCACTGGAAATGCTAAACCCAATGTGAACTAAAGTCAACATTTCCGTTCTATGCTTATTGGCACCACTTCATGCCTCCATCATGGGAAAGTACCTCTTTTTACAGAAAGCAGAACACTGCTAACAGAATCCATGTGATTCAATCTTCAGTTTCCCTTGCTTAACATTTGTTAGCATGTATTTCAGCAAAGATTAACAGTATAATGAATGTTGAGTAGTAAAATCCTATTTAATTAGCTTCAATTTAAAAATGAGATATATGCTGCTATGGGGAACAAATGACCTGTTGAGCTTGACAACCCCATTTATAAATGTGGGAAAGCTGCCTCCCTTAAAAAAAAAAAAAAAAAAATTATGTCCAAGGTTAATACCGTATCTTTTTTTGTAATTTTCTTGATGTTATTGGCACCTCCCAGGCACTTTGGCATGTGCTCCTGTATAAAGTGTAGTTACTATGCCTGTAGAGTTAGTGGCAGCTGCAGAGTAGTTATAGGCTGACAAGTCCACTTTTGGTTTACCATGGTGATCCGATCCAACACACGCTGGTCGTTGGAGCAGCAAACAAACAAAACAAAACAGCGATTTGGAAAAAGAATAAAATTATGAGTTGGGGAAAAGGATCACGGCTTCCCGTATTGTTGTTCCAGGAGTTATATGACAAGTAGAAAAACTGTACTAATTTAAAGAGTCAAAATAGAAGTAGACTAAATAGCATGAGTGCTGATAATGCCAAGAAAACCCAATCTCCCTTCTAAAGAGCTTGCACACAGCAATGTCCCTGGTCAAGAAACTGATCGTGCCTGGCTGAGCAGAATGACAACGGTACTCAGGAAAATTCCACAATGCGACATCCACTTGGTGAATCAGTGACAATGGATAAATTCAACTTTAGAAGTTACTAAACTGCAAAATGTCTACTCTGAAGATGCAAATGTTTTTCCTTGGCAGATCCTCTCTGTGCCTGGGATTGACACAAAGGCTCAAAACTGCAAAATACAAAGATCAAGTAGTCTGGTGCCCCACTGTACTGGGTAAATAAAATTTTAGAAAGTGGAGGAGAAATGCTTTCACGTTTTACCTACATTAACCTAATGTTTGTTCAGTTGCCTGTTTTGCAAGAATCTGGGACTAAGGTAAATGAAGGCAGAAGATAAAGTGATCCCTGTTCCTTTATTCAAAGTTATCTAAAGTTTTTAATTGAGCCCCGTTTGTTACATGAAATGTTAATCCTACCAAATGTAGTTAGGTAGGCTTGAATTGGACATAGGATTAAAACAGTTTAATGAGAACAAGACCACTGACTCTGGCTTAACACCACACTCTAACAGAAAAGAAGAAAGCTTTACAGAAATATCTGAAACATACAAAATTTGTGCAAGGACAAACATATTTTAGAACCTGAGCAAAGGCTTCGTACAGGTTGTTTTCACTGGCAATAATTCAGCCAGGTCAGTATGTATGTTGCTCTTACCAACTGACGTGGCCCCTAAAATATGTAGAGCACAGAAAGGCCAGTGACTCTGGAGGTCTGCAGTTAGTTAGTAGTACAGGCCAGAAGTTCAAGAAACTGCTACTGGAAACAACTGGATACCATAACATTAAAAAGAAGTAAAAATAAAAGAATGAGTGCAGAAAGAAACGAACAGCTAATAAGATGAAGATGCTCAGGATCGGACTGGATGAGAGTATGACCACAACACTCAGATACGTAACCACACCTGTTTACAACCACAGGTCCTTGCTCTCAAAATAAATATATATTGAACATTTACAACAGAATGAATGCCTTATGAATGCAAGCTTTTCTTTTATTGCAATTCTAATCAAACAGACCAAAAGGTCATACTTCTAAAGCTACAAGTAATCTTTTTCAATGAAAATGATGTGACTTGGTGCCACAGCTAAACTTTATCTAATAGCAGCATCATCAGCCCATGGCAGCAAAGAAATGTTCATTTCTGGCATCCCATGAGCTCTCACCGAAGCAACTTCATAAAGCATGCAGATACCTATTCTGCTGAAGTTTCAAACAAAAATGATCATTGTGCTTGTGGGTCTCATACCTTCCAAAATATACATAAATGATGGCAAAAACAAATAATAGCAGGTCCTTGCTTTCCAGTAAAATCGTAAGGCAGGGGGTCGGCAGTGAAAAGAAAAATGTTTAAAATAGAAAAAAAAAAAACTGCAAAATGGTGTTAGCATTCACAAAAAAGATCATGCGAAGATCAGATCCATACTGATTAAACATTGAAAATTCAGTGACAATCCAAAGAACTCTGTCCATGAGTCCAAAGGCATGCAGGCCAGCTGAAGGAAATGCAGGATTCGTCTGACAGTATCTTCTTCAGAGCAGAACAGTAACATCTCACTGGAATAATCACGACAGGGTAGACAAGGTGCCATCACACTTCTTTTTTGTAATTCAAAATAAAAGAAACGCAATCACAGGACAAAAAAAAATTACAGAATAGTGGACAGAGAAAATACAGAAATTCACAATAACCCTATAAAACAAAAAAAACTTCAAATTATTTCTATATTTTCAGGGTTTATCCTTTTTCAAAGTAGTCTTTTTAATTAATCTGAAAAGTTTATAAACAATGAAGTGTTAACTATAAAATTATTACCCATGAGATTATCTTTAGTATCAATACTTTTTTGAGACAGGGTCTTGCTCTGTCACCCAGGCTGGAGTGCAGTGGCGCATTCTCAGCTGACTGCAACCCCTGCCTCCCAGGTTCAAGCAATTCTCGTGCCTCAGCCTCCCGAGTAGCTGGGATTACAGGCATGCGCCACCACCCCGAGCTAATTTTTGTATTTTTAGTAGAGATGGGGTTTCACCATGTTGGCCAGGCTAGTCTCCAATTCCTGGCCTCAGGTGATCCCCACTTAGGCCTTCCAAAGTGCTGGGATTACAGGAGTGAGCCACCAGGCTCAGCCTCAATACTCAAAATAATAATTTCACTCTTGTTTAAAGGACACATAAGAAGCATCTTGTCATCAGAATCCTCCCCAACCAGATGTTTTAAAGTAAGGAAAAGAACCTACAACTTAGATTCAAAGTGCAGAAACGACACTTAGCTGAGTAATTTTGCCTTTCCCAGTAAGTTCACAATTAAAACATTATATATATATATATATATATATATTTACTATTATTGGCCTGGCCATGTCTGGCCTTCAGGTCCAGACCCCTGAGTACTCACTGGAGAAAGGACCAGGGCTATCCCGCCTTCGTATCCACGAGCTGCATCTGCACATTGGCAGGCATTCCACCTCCGTAGCCTCCCTTGGACTGCATTTGGTTCTGAATGGAGCTAACCTAAAACAAGACAAAAATAAAACAAAATGGAAGTCAGGAACTAGGTCCGGTGCAACTAAGTAATTAATTCTTTTCCCAGATTTTTATCTGAGCTGCTTTTTTCAGAAGGCTACTTTTATAGAAAAAAAAACTTTTTATAGACAAACGTTTTCTGGTTATAAGGACAAACAGGCTAGCAATTGAAACATTTTTTGCAAAAACCCCTATTTTCTCTATTTCCAAATTACGAGTCAGTTTGTAATTCACAAGGCACTTGGTAACATCTGAAAAATAGTCAAAAATATATAGATCAACTCCACTTTTTTTTTTTTTTTAAGACAGTCTTGCTCTGTTGCCCAGGCTGGAGTGCAGTGGCGTCATCTCAGCTCACTGCAACCTCCACCTCCCCAGTTCAAGTGATTCTCCTGCCTCAGCCTCTCTAGTAGCTGAGATTACACGCACACATCACCATGCTCAACTAATTTTTCTATTTTTAGGTTTCACCATGTTGGCCAGGCTGGTCTTGAACTCCTGACCTCAAGTGATCCGACTGCCTCGGCCTCTCAAAGTGCTGGGATTATAGGCATGAGCCACCGCGCCCGGCCGATCAACTCCACTTTGTTTCTCAACCTCAAGTATCTTAATTTACAGATATCTCACATATATAATCACCTCAATTACCTAGTAAAGAATCAAAACCAAGAAAATAAGCATGAATAAAACTGGACCAACCAAAGATAAATCTTAAAAGTCTGTGTCATAAAATGTACCATGTTAACATAGCCTGATAAAGTAAAAAAGAATCAAAGAACCCAAAGACAGATAGTCCCAGTGTATTTATTAATATTGTAACTGGGTAAACTATCCTCTCTGAGTATCAGACTTATTATTTGTAAAAGGGTTAAGATGGTAGTCTCTCCCGACCACATTATAGGGCTGTTTCCTGATAGACTGCAAGATGTACGAAAGCCGGGATATTTTCTTTTTGCTGAAACAAAGGCACATAAAGTCATTTGCAAACTGTGAAGTACTTTTAGTATATCATTATTATTCTAATCTTAGTTCATATAAATTAGCAGTCTGGAAGCAGAGAACTGGAGAGTCAGGCTAGACTGCTAGAAGAAGGAACACAAGCAATACGATTTTGGAGATGATGGCCTAACAGTGGAGAGGGAGCACTGGCAATGTGGTTGAGCATTTCATGGAATCAGCTCAAAGGGCCCTGCACAATTCCATGATTTGGAGGGAACCGGGACATCATTCATTTATCAGTCATCTGCTTATCAAATACTTACTGAGCACCTACTGTAATATAAGGCATGAAGGGTGAGGTGCTTTCCACTGGTGATTCTGAGTCAATATTTAAAGAAAGACTTGTCTAACTCATTTTTGGAGTCAGTCAGGTTTCAATATATACTATAATAGAAGATAATGGCAAAACAGAAAATGCATAGCTTATTTAGATCAAAAGAGTCTAAATGAGAATATGTGTTTGGCTCTTAAATGGGGACATTTTTACTGACCTGGAAATTTACTTACATGGAACATCTTATTTGTATGACATCACATTATAAGGTATTGCTGTAATAGTCACATTAATAAAATGACTACTTCAGGTAAGAGTGTAAGAAGAAATCTGTATTTATTTTTGTTTGTTTTTTAAACATAAACTTTCTCAGTTAATGCAGTGTGAAGAGGCTAGGGCCTGTCATATGACACTAGTTCAAATTCATCATCTGCCCCTTTATGGTAACTAACATTAAGTTATGTGGCACAAACCTGATACCAAATAATTTTCCACCTAACATGGCATGTTAGCTTTTATAGATATTTTAGGTCTGTCTTAAAAAACATCTTTATGACCAGGTGCAGTGGCCCACAGCTGTAATCCCAACACTTTGGGAGTTTGAAGTAGGCAGATAACTTGAGCCCACAAGTTTGAGGCCAGCCTGGACAACATAGTGAAACCCCGTCTCTACAAAAAAAATACAAAACCATCCTGGCCAACATGGTGAAACCCCATCTCTACTAAAAAAAATACAAAAATTTAGCCGGGCGTGGTGGCGGGCACCTGTAGTCCCAGCTACTCGGGAGGCTGAGGCAGGAGAATGGCGTGAACCTGGGAGGCGGAGCTTGCAGTGAGCTGAGATCTGGCCACTGCACTCCAGCCTGGGTGACAGAGCAAGACTCCGTCTCAAAAAAAAAGAAAAAAGGAAAAAAACAAAAAAAAAAAATACAAAAACTAGCTGGGCATGGTGGTGCAGGCCTGT